TACGCACGTACGCACGTACGCACGCACGCAGCAGAGCCACGACAATACAGACTCTACGATTTACCTGTCAGTCTATGACTATGTGCAGCTGTAGCATGAGTTTAGCGATGTGACGGCGACACTACTTAACAACCTACAAGGCATACACAATTGTCCTGGCAACTGCCACTATTTCACTTAAATTCGCAGATATTTATCTGGTTTTAACTGGAAACAGCGCGACCCACTTCAGCGGGACTTATTTGAGAAACGTCGTATAACATAGTAATATGTTATCATCGTTATACCATTTAACCATTTACTGTCGCATATAGAGCCTCGGGGTGGGGTAAATGGTTGCGCAGTAATGGTAGTTCGTAGTTCTACCAGCTAATCGGTGTAGTCATTTGCCTAGATAACAAACATAAAGACAGCTGGTGATTTTAACGACCATCAGCACTGTGGTTTATACGCAAGGATGCACTGAAAAGAGGTACAGCCCCGGAGGAACCCATCCTTTATCGTCTCCTCAGATCATGTGAGCCGAAAGAAAAACAAAACCGATGAACAATTCGACTCTTTGTGCAAAGAAGCATCCGATAGTACACACCCAAGCTGCTCAGCCTACTATATTCGCTAATTGCTAGGTAATCAAAGCAATGGATGAAACTAGGCCACGCTTCTTCTCACTACCACTCCGACAGGCAGAAGCAGCTAAATAATTCGCTTTCACAACAACACCATTCCATCATTTCAGTGATGCTATGCCACGCGAAAGCAATGTTCGCTTTGCCATTTTAAAGTTACAACATCAAGTAATCAATGCATGAAGACTTTGACGTGGCGATTAGGCCAGTACAAGATAAAAATCGTGGCCTTGGGCAAGGGGCAATTAAGGCACAAGGGAAATCGTGGCAAAGGGTGGCCTTGCGGCTGCCAACTCATTAAAGCCACTAGCAGCTAGACGAATGGCAACGGACCGGACCGCCATTGCATATTTGATTAAAAACCAACATTCGGGCAGTACTGTTTTTGCCCTCGTTCACATTGCGCGTTCGTGAGCATCGTGGGAGGGGCCACATTAACATTTATAATAAAAAAATAATCAAACATTATTTATGGTAAATATTTCAGTAAGAGGTATATAGTTGCGGTGTATTAGATTAAATGGGTAAACTGGTATAACAAGTGCCGCGGAGCGACAGCGCTCATCTAACGTCTACTGCGGTGACTCTGTGGTGGGATATATTCTAGTAAACCCTGTTAGTCCCAAATGTGTTCACATACACGCCGAAACAGTGGAAGGCACAGGGATGGTATCAGGAACCTTCTCAAAGGAATGTTCGTTGGGATCGTTATGAAAGTTGCCACGAGATGGCGCGTACGTTTAAGTGTCTTCAGATTAAAGATGGAAGCTCCCATCGAACGTAGTAGTAACAACTATTTGCAAGACAGAATATGTAAGCACACATCCATTTACCTACGCAAGCCTACAGGCTGAAATAGAGAGCTACCACCTGTAACTAATTAACGCAGGCAAAAACTACACAGTACCACCACCACATGCACTGGCACTGGCCGTGGCCACGTTACATGTAACACACTGACAGTACAGAATACCATAGAAATTATACAATTTAAGGAGCATAAACCTTCTTCAACCAAATTTAGCTTTTGAAATTTCACTGTGACATTGTAGCCTCATACATCCAGGCATGTATAGATTCTACAAGCAAACCCGGCAGTCAAATTCTTTCTAACAGTAAAGAAATCCATGTTTAACCCGCCTCTTGAGGGTCAAAAGGTTATCCGACACTTACTCTTAGCATGTCAGCAAAAATTACATTTCATGGTCCTTTCAATAAAGCCATAAAAATGCTAGGTCACTGCTGAAACAAAAGAGTTTTTCAATCGCTCCGTCAGACCATGTCCTCAGAAAATGTCTAAAATCTGCCCTGTGCCCATTGACCTTTGACCTCCAATTTCGGCACAGTGATGGCTTTTCCTACCATGATGCTGTACACCGACTATCACGAGCTTAGGTCGAACCGTTTAGATTTGTGCCGCAATTCTGCATTTCCTCCCTATACCTTAAGTTAAGGAGGGAATGTTCCCCCTTCTTTTACACCTCTTGACCTTTGACCTTAGACCCCCAGCTTCGACATCGCAACTCGTTTTGAAGATCCCCCCCAACGTCCCGAATATCGTGACCGTACGTCGAGCGGTTAAGATTTGTGCCCAACTGTTGACGGACGGACGGACGACCGGACGGACGACCGGACGGACGGACGATCATGCGATTCTACAAGCTGCATCTGACTATGTCAGATGAGCTAATAAAAATTATCATCCATTCTTCTATGTGGCTGCTATACTAAAAACATATACTAAATTTAAAGTCAAAATACCGAAGTTGCCATATAATATTTTCTTTGTAAGAAATTCCATGATTCAGGACACATGGATGTGTGTTTTATATTATTATAGGCAGCTATAAAATATATTTATGTAGGAGTTCAGGAACACACTTTCTGTCGAAAGTACTGGTTTCATTTAAAAACCTCACACCACTCGGTTTCATTTACGAGCGTTGCCTAGCCTGTAACCTATACAACATATTGGATGCAAGGTCAGCCTAACACAAATAAGAAATTAACATAGGGTGGTCTCATCGCAGCTGTAATGCCAGAGCATTAATCATGTACTCACCCACAGTCATCTACGTTCATCTTCAATAACTTTTCCTATATGTAGATCTATGCTGGGAAACGTGACAGCGTAAAGGGAAGGTTGAAATATTTCCAAACTTCAATTTTTATTGGCAACAAAATAATATATTCTGCAGTTTAGTAATAGAAGAATGAAATGGATATACTTGCACCCTTTTTTGTTGACAGAGAATAATAATCACATAAACCTCGTTTTCATAATCGCTATAAAATATTAAGTAATCTGTGACTGAACAGGGGGAGGGGTATTTGATGGGTTTGGACATTAATTCTCAAAAATGTTATTTCAGGAATAGTAAACTGTATAATACAGGCAGAATTCAATTGTTACCTCATCTCATGCTGCTTGGAACAGTCACACACGTTGCCAGTGGTGTTAGGGGATTAATAGAATAGCAAAATGATTATACGTATTCATGAGCAGTAAATCACGCACGTAAATATAAGGGGGTGGGACAAACCATAATTATGGATCATATATGCCTCTGGATGTTCTGTTAGGTTTTCAAACAACTATAACACAATCGGTGCAAGGCAAGTGCATGCGTCACTTACGAATATTTCGTCAAAGTGATGTCGCAGCCAATAACGCGCTATCTGTAAACCAGAGATGGCTGATTAGATGGACTTGCAGAACGTCATTATGGCAACGTCATCAACTGCAAACGATCCAGTCAACGAATGGCTCATCTCGCTACATTTGCCCGCCTGTCATTATCAAATTGCTCACACCATCAATATTCACGAAAGTGTCCTAGTATATATATACATGTATACTAGTATGCTATACTAATGTATATTTCTATATTAGTATTTATACTTGCATGAACACATCGTAATATATTTATACTATATGTAAATAACAAGCATCCTATAAAGATGGAAATAAAGAAGTGCAACAAAGCCCTTAACAATTTAACCATTGCATTAATGACAGGTGCAGTAGCGCGGAATTTGAATTTTGAGCAGCAGTGATCGAGGCATGGTAGTACTAGTATAAATACTGAGGCGTAGTAGTATAGAGACTGAGGCGTGGTAGTATAGAGAATAAGGTGTGGTAGTATAGACACTAAAGCCGGGCGCACACGTGGCGATTTTTATCGCTAGCACTGGCGATTTTGTTGCCAGCAACAAAATCGCCGAGAAATCGCCACGTGTGCGCTGCATGGCGATGGCGATTTTGACAGCCAGATAATACTCGTCGCTGGAATATCAAACACGTTTGATATTTGTTGCCAAGTCGCTGAACAATCGCTACGTGTGCGCTGCACTGGCGACGGATTCAGGCAACAGTTTTTTGATAACCAATCAAATGCATGATTTGAAGCACGTGATCAAATATGGCAGCGCCCACGTTCGTTTTCCACATGCTAAACGTTCGTTTTGGTGCAATGGATCTTCAGCATCCTGCGTTCTTCTTGCTTATCCTTGCCCCAACCAGTGTCAGAATTGCATTGAAATGTTCTTTTTTCATTCTAAAATAACGCTATACACTGAATCTTCAAGCTCCAGTTCTCTTACTAAATTATTAAAAAAACCACGTGAATCACGTCGCAGCCACAGGCACTTGGGACAGAGTCAGTAAAAACTGAAAATAATCTGAACGCACATTCACAAATAGGCCTTACTACCGTACCTCTCAATTACAGTTCCACTGCTTTGTGTCACTGTAATATCAACTTTCCTTCATAAAAACTAACGCCGAACGCTCCCGCACTCGCCGCTGCGAGTGTGCTGTGTTGCCATAATAATATATACGCTGTGGCTACGGGTACGACAGCCGTATCTTAATGGCCCAAGTGCCTGTGGTCGCAGCACCCACGTACGTGCCCATGTACATCTCTCTCTCTCGCTGCTGTCTGTCAACGACGCCGACGCATAATTATTAAATATATTCCAATAACTTGAAGAACGGCTATCGTGGTGTCAATGCATGGGCGCTTCCATTTTGAACAGGTCACGTAATCAGTTCATACAGTGGTTTGTTGCTGACAGATGGTTGCATTGTCGCCGGATCCCGCACACGTTGGGTTTTATCGCCAGTACACTGTGATAGCGATAAAAATTCGCGGCCACGTGTGCGCCCGGCTTAAGGAGAGGTAGTAGAGATTGAGGAAAGGTAGTATAGAGAGTAAGGTGTGGTAGCATAGAGAGTAAGGTGTGGTAGCATAGAGAGTAAGGTGTGGTAGTATAGAGTAAGGTATGGTAGTATAGTGGACTGATACGTCGTGGTTAAGGGCTGATCGGTAACAGCTTGATACGGGTAGAGATAGTGGACAGAGATGAACGGGTAGACTGATACGCTGCGTAGTAGCAAGACTGATACGTGGTAAGTACAGAGACTGATACGTGGTAGTATAGACTGATACTGGTATTAAACTGATAGTCGGTAGTATAGAGAGACTGTAGCAACGACTGATACGTGGTAGTAAGCCAGACTGATACGTGGTAGTATAGAGACTGACTGCGAGTAGAGACTGATCGTAATAGAGAGCGTGTAGTATAGACCGATACGTGAAGTATAGAGACCTGATACGTGGTAGTATAGAGACCTGATACGTGGTAGTATAGAGACTGGATACGTGTAGTATAGAGACTGATACATGTGTAGTATAAGGACTGATACGTGGTAGTATAGAGGACTGCATACGTGGTAAGTATAGAGACTGATACGTGGTAGTTTTAATAGAGACTGATACGCTGCAGATATAGAGAACTGATACGTGGTAGTATAGAGACTGATAGTCGTGTAGTATAGAGACTGATACATGTAGTATGTAGAGACTGATACGTGGTAGTACAGAGACTGAGTAGCGTGGTAGTATAGAGACTGATACGTGCTAGTAAGGACTAGACAACGTGGTAGTACAGAGACTGATACGTGGTAGCTATAGAGACATTGATACGTGATAGTATAGAGACTGATACGATGAGTAGTATAGAGACTGATATCGTGGCTAGTACAGAGACTGATAGCGTGGTTATTTTTTTTTTGTTTTTTTAGACTATCGTGTATAGAGACTGATACGTGGTAGCTTATCAGAGCTGATAGTGGCGCGGCCGCGGGGGGGCCGTGCGCTAGGCTGGCGGTGCCCGGGTAACGTATGCAGCTGATCGCCTGGCCGTATAGAAGACGACGGTGGCTAGGACGCGGACGCGTGAGAGCAGAGCCCGGGTGCATCGTAAGCAACGCGCACGTGAGTACGGGTTAGTACAGAGACTGATACGTGTGTAGTACAGGACTGATACGTGGAGTATGCGAGACACTGATACGTGGTAGTATAGAAGACTGATACGTGGTAGTATAGAGACTGACTACGTGGTAGTACAGACTTGATACGTGGTAAGTATAGACGACTGATACGTGTAGTAACAGAGACTGATACGTAGGTAGTATAGAGACTGATACGTAGGTACGTATAGAGACTGATACGTGGTAGTTAGAGACTGATAGCGTGGTAGTACAGAGACTGATTACGTGGTAGTATAAGAGACTGATACGTAGTAGTATAGAGATGATACGTGTAGTACAAAGACTGATACGTGGTAGTATAGAGACTATACGTGGTAGTATAGAGACTGATACGTTGGTAGTACAGGAGACTTATACGTGGTAGTATAGAGAACTGAATACGTGCCTTAGTACAGAGACTGATACGTGTAGTATAGAGACTGATAACGTGGTAGTTATAGAGAACTATACGTGGTAGTATAGAGACTGATACGTGGTAGTATAGAGACTGATACGTGGTATATAGAGACTGATACGTGGTACGTACAGAGACTTATACGATAGGTAGTACAGAGACTGATACGTGGTAGTATAGAGACTGATACGTGCTAGTACAGAAGACTGATACGTGGTAGTATATAAGACTGATACGTGGTAGTAATAGAGACTGATACGTGTAGTATCAGTAGACTGGATAACGTGGTAGTACAAGAGACTGATACGTGGTAGTGATAGAGACTGATACGTGGTAGTACAGAGAACTGATACGTGGTAGTATATATAGAGACTGATACGTGGTAGTACAGAGGACCCTTATAGTGGTAGTACAGAGACTGATACGTGTAAGTTATAGAGACTGATACGTGGTAGTACTCAGAGACTGATACGTGGGTAGTATAGAGCACTTGATACGTGGTAGTATAGAGACTGAACCGTGTTAGTACAGAGACTGGTACGTGGGGGGGGGGGGGCGGGTAGTATACGAGACTGATACGTGTGTACAAGAGACTGACGTGGTAGTATATAAGAGACTGATACGTGGTAGGTACAGAGACTTATACGTGGTAGTACAGAGACTGCGTATAGACTGTGTGAGATATAGCAAGGCACTGATACGTGGTAGTATAGAGACTGATACGTGTAGGTACAGAGACTTGAATACGTGGTAGTGATAGAGCATGGATACGTGGTAGTATAGAGACTGATACGTGTAAGTATAGAGACTTGATCACGTGGTAGTAGGCACGAACGGATTACCAGAGACTGATACTGTGGTAGTATAGAGACTGATTAACGTGGTAGTACAGAGACTGCATACGTGGTAGTATATGCAGCTGCATAGATGGTTGTATAGAGACTAGATACGTGGTAGTAATAGAACATGATACGTGGTAGTATTTATATAGAGACTGATTACGTGGTACTACAGCAGACTTATACGTCTGGTAGTATAGAGACTGATAGCGTGGTAGTATAGAGACTGATACGTGGTTAGCTATAGAGACTGATACTGTGCGATAATAGAGACTGATACGTGGTAGTATAGAGGACTGATACATGGTGTATATAGAGACTGATACGTGGTAGTACGAGAGACTTATCGTGGTAGTACAGAGACTGATACGTTGGTAGTACAGAGACTGATACGTGGTAGTACAGGAGACTGATACATGGTAGTATAATAGTAAGATGCTTGATACTGGTAGTATAGAGACTGATACTGGTAGTACAGAGACTGATACGTGGTAGTAACAGAGACTGATAACATGGTATATAGAGACTGATTAACGTGGCTAGTACAGAGAGCTGATTACGTGGTAGTATAGAGACTGATACGTAGTAGTATAGAGACTGATACATGGTAGTACATAGCAGACTGATACGTGGTAGTATGAGGAGCTAGATACTGATAGTACGGAGACATGATACGTGGTAGTATAGAGACTGATACGTGGTAGTACAGAGACTGATACGTGGGTAGTATTAATGAGACTGATACGTGGTAGTTACAGGCACTTGATACGTGGTAGTATAGAGACTGATACGTGTAGTACAGAGACTGATACGTGGTAGTATAGAGACTGATTACGTGGTAGTACAGAGACTAGTACGTCGGTAGTAATAGAGACTGATACGTGGGTAGACAAGAGACTGTATACGTCGGTAGTACAGCGGATGATACGTGGTAGTATAGCAGACTGATACGTGCCTAGTATAGAGGCTGATACGTGGTAGTACAGAGATTGATACGTGGTAGATAGAGACTGATACGTGGTAGTATTAGAGGACTGATAGTGGTAAGTATCGCAGACTGCATACGTGGCTTGTATAGAGACTGCCATACTGGTAGTATAGATGACTGATACGTGAGATAGAGACTGATACGTGGTGTATAGCACGACTGATACGTGGTCAGTACAGAGACTGCATACGTGGTAGTATAGAGACTGATTGACGTGGTAATATAGAGACTGATACGTGCGTAGTACAGAGACTGATACGTGGTAGTAATAGAAGACTGATACGTGGGTAGTGACAGAGACTGATACTCATGGTAGTATAGAGACTGATACGTGGTATATAGAGGACTGATTAGCGTGGTAGTTACAGAGACTGAACGTGGTAAGTATAGAGACTGATCGTCGGTAGTACACAGGACTGATACGTGGTAGTACACGAGACTGATACTGGTAGTATAGAGAGACTGATACGTGGTAGTAATAGAGACTGATACGTGCGTAGTATAGCTAGACTGATACGTGTCCGTATAGAGACTGATACGTGGTAGTATAGAGACTGCATACGTGGTAGTACAGAGACTGAGTACGTGGTGTACAGAGAGTGATTACATGTAGATTATAGAGACTATACGTGGTATATAGAGACTGATACGTGGTAGATACGAGACTGATACGTGGAGTATAGAGACTGATACGTGGTAGTATAGAGACTGATACGTGGTAGTATAGAGACTGATACGTGGTAGTATAGAGACTGATACGTGGTAAGTATAGAGACTGAATACGTGGTAGTATTAGAGACTGATACATTTGGTAGTACAGAGACTGCATACGTGGTAGCTACATGAGACTGATGACGTGGTAGTATAGAAGACTGATACGTGTAGTATTAGAGACTGATACGTGGTAGTATAGAGACTGAATACGCTGGTAGTATAGAGACTGGATACTGGTAGTATAGAGACTGATACGTGGTAGTATAGAGACTGATACGTGGTAGTATAGCGAGACTGCATACGTGGTAGTACAGAGACTGATAACGTGGTAGTATAGAGACTGATACGTGGTAGTATAGAGACTGATTAGCGTGTGTATATAGAGACTGATACGTGGTAGTACAGAGAACTGATACGCTCGCGTAGTAACAGAGACTGATACCAGGTATATAGAGACTGATACGGGTAGTATAGGACTGATATACGTGGTAGTATAGAGACTGATACATGGTATAATAGAGACTGTACGTTAGTACGTATGAGAGACTGATACGTGTAGTACAGAGACTTGATAACTGGCTAGTACATGAGACCTGATACGTGGTAGTATAGAGACTGATACAGTTAGTACAGAGACTGATAGTCGTAGTATAGAGACTGATACGTGTAGTATAGGCGACTGGATACGTGTAGTACAGAGAACTGATACGTGTAGTACAGAGGACTGATACGTGGTATATAGAGAACTGATACGTGGTAGTATAGAGACTGATACGTGGTAGTCATAAGGTATGATACGTGGTAGTATAGAGACTGATACGTGCGTAGTATAGAGACTGATAAGCGTGGGTAGTATAGAGACTGATACCGTGGTAGTACAGAGACTGATACGTCGGTAGTATAGAGACTGATACGTGGTAGTATAGAGACTGATCGTGCGTAATATAGAGGACTGATACGTGGTTAGTACAGAGACTGATACGTGTGTATAGAGATATACGTGGTAGTATAGAGACTGATACTGGTAGTGTAATAGAGACTGATACGTGTAGTTAGAGACTGATACGTGTAGTTACAGAGACTGATACGTGGGTTGTACAGAGACTGATACGTGGTAGGTATAGAGACTGATACGTGGTAGTATAAGAGACTGATACATGGTAGTATAGAAGACTGATACAGTGTAGTATAGAGGGATCCTGATACGTGGTAGTATAGAGACTGATACGTGTATGTATAGGTTTTTTTTTAGTGAACTGATTACTTGTAGTACAGAGACTGATACGTGGTAGTATAATGAGACTGATACGGTGGTAGTATAGAGACGATGATACGTGGTAGTACAGAGACTGATACGTGGTAGTAATAGAGACTGATACGTGGTAGTACAAGAGACTGATACGTGGTAGTCACAGAGACTGCATACGTGCGTAAGTACAGAGACTGATATCGTGTAGTACACGAGACTCTGATACGTGTATATAGAGACTGATACTGGTAGTACAGAGACTGATACGTGGTACTATAGAGACTGATACGTGGTAGTATAGAGACTGATACGTGGTAGTAAGAGACTGATACGTGGTGTATAGAGACTGATACGTGGTAGTATAAGAGCTGATACGTGGTAGTACAGAGACTGTACGTGTAGTATAGAGACTGATCACGTGGTAGTATAGAGGACTGATACGTGGTAGTAACAGAGACTATGATACTATGGTAGTATAAGGAGACTGATACGTGGTAGATATAGAGACTGATACGTGGTAGCTACAGAGACTGATACGTGGTAGTTAGAGACTGATACACGTGGTAGAGTATAGAGACTGGATACGTGGTAGTATAGAAGACTGATACGTGTAGTACAGAGACTCGATACGTGGTAGATAGAGACTGATACCTGGTAGTATAGCAGACTGATACGTGGTAGTATAGAGACTGCTACGTCTGTACAGGCTGAACGTGGTAGTACAGAGACTGATACGTTGTAGTATAGAGACTGATACGTGGTAGTATATGAGACTGATACGTGGTAGTACATGAGACTGATACGTGGTGTAATACGAGACTGATACGTGGTAGTATAGAGAACTGATACGTGGTAGTATAGGAGACTGATACGTGGTAGGAAGAGACTGATAGCGTGGTAGTATCAGAAGACTGATACGTGTAGTATAGAGGACTGATACGTGTAGTACTAGAGCACTGGATACAGTGCTAGTACAGAGGACTGAATACAGGTAGACCGAGCTGAAGTGGAGTACAGAGACTCGAATACATTGGTAGTATACGAGGACTGATACAGTGGTAGGATAGAGACTGATACGTGGTAGTATAGCAGAGGTAAGGTGTGTAGCTTATAGAGAAGTAAGGTATGGTAGTATAGAGACTGATATTGGAGTAGATGGATCGTGGCTAGTATAGAGACTGATACGTGCGTTAGTATAGAGACTGATCACGCTGGTAGTGATAGAGACTATACTGGTAGTATAGAGACTGACCGGTGATAGAATGATTACGTGGTAGTATAGAAGACTGATACGTGGCTAGTATAAGAGACTGATACGTGGTAGTACAAGGACTGAACATGGAAGTACAGAGACTGGATACATGTAGTTATAGAGACTGACTACGTGGTTAGTATAGAGACTGATACATGGTAGTATATAGAGACTGATAATGTAAGTAAGGAGACTGATACGTGGTAGTACAGAGACTGATACGTGCGTAGTACAGAGGACATGATACATGGTTAGTATAGAGACTGATACGTGCGTAGCTATAGAGACTGGACGGAGCATAGTATGTTATTATGATACGTGTAGTATAGCGGACTAAGGCATGTTAGTATAGAGACTCAGGCATGGTATACTTACAGAGTCATCTAGGCGCACGATGCGACCTTCAACCTGTGGCGTCTGACAGTGACTCAGCTCGTGGTCATGGACACTCAATTGTCTGCGCAGCCGCCGTGGACCACGGGACTCCACGTGACCTAGCGATGCGCAGACTGCAGTCATTCCCACATATATCAACATGGCAATTATTGCATGCATGCATGTGCAAATTGCTACAGAACCTTTACACAGACCAATACTTACCCATGTTAACAGCTATATTATCAGCATATGTGTAATGTTTTCAAATTACATTAAATTAACATCTTTCATATTGAGTATTAATCAATTTTTTCTACAAACAGTGCTAATTTTAACAAGGTCCCCGACATTCCGGCTAACTACGACTTGCCTTTTTCTGTGCTGTCGGTGTTGGCACTCGCTACAGTTGCGTGTTTGGTGTCCGGCGACAGCTCGGCTATCTCGCGCACGAGATCCGAGTGACTCGGTGTCGTGTTCACCTCATCAATGAGGCAGACGCCGTGGGAATGGTCTAGGCTCTGATTGCTTAGCGTACTGCATGTGGACACATCCATGCTGCAGTGTCGCAGCAGGCTGTTTCTGCAGGGTTCACACGAAGACGTGCGACAGTGAGCGCTTGCCCCGTCGAACCGTACAGCGAGTCGCCCTCACCCCGAGATATTGTTGCTAGGTCAGTCAAGCTCACACTGTTTGTGCGTGGTGCACAGCTAAATATCGATTTTACGAAACGTGGTTGATTACTAAGCACTGTTTTTATGGCAACGCTGTATGACTATAGTATAGTTGCCTATCGATCACACTAAGTGAATCACTCAATTTTATTCCAAGATTTTGTTCATAAGTCAAATGTTTAAAATTCAGACTTTGACTGGCTTGACGTGGCTCGGTTCATAGTGGCGTATTCATAGTTCATATTCATAGTAATTCTTGTGTTGCGTAAATAGGTCTTATTCGTAAATATTAAATGAAATAATGGAGCATTATTACTAATTTTGGATGTCTCAAATACCTGAAACTAGGGTATGCCATGTGAATCGCACAAGCACCGTTTGACAGAATACAACTGCCCTGGTCTGAGCAAAGTGACTGCACCCTTACAGTAAATCAGAGCAGCCAACTGTGGCTGATACCATAGCACTACCCTGTCTAGTAGAGAGACACGTGACTACCTGCCAGTACGAGACCTGCTCAACTAACCTGCGCTGCAGTGAGACTAAAGACTGCCTGTGACGAGACTTGCACGGGGTCAGTCCCTTAACTATGTTCACAGACTTGAAGAAGTTCTTTACAGCCGTGATGAGGACTGGACACAGTTCTTCATTCATCTGTAACAATGCCGACAGAGGTACACATATGAATACAAGTGATTCCTAACATTTTACACCTCACCTAACACTTTAGGGGTTGGTAGGTATAGGTACAAAAACACCCTTTCCCTAGTCACATTACACATACGCACGCACGCATGCACGCATATGCACGTACGCATATGCACACACAAATAGGTATTTGAAGGATGGCCTTGTTTATACAATCTTTCAATAATGATTATGATGAAAAGGATTATTACCAAAACGTCACAATCTTTGAAGACGTCATAGCCATCTTTCCCCGACGCTATGTATGATTTCGTCACGATGCTGTATTCCTAAAAGCAAAACGAATCTAACGTTACTCAATCAAGCAAATTTACCTACATGTGATTATGAGTGTTGTTTGAAGTGGAATGTTCTGAGCAGACACCATAAGGCTTGCATTGTTGACTAGAAACATAGCATATATGCAAGTGAGTGGATTCATAAATACCATGGTTTTCAAATAATAGTAATCTATAATGCATCGTTTTAATTGACTAATGGGCCAACTATCATTGTGCTAGGATTCTCTTACAATACATCTATTGCAGATGTGAGATGATGCATAACTCATATTGAGTTAAACTTTTTTTAATATGAAATCATGCTACATTAAGAGCATTTATCTTCATCCCACAATCATTAGAAACGAAAAATTTCCACTACAATTCATGGTCAGACTTTTGCTTTTGCACGGGTATTGCTCTAATGAAGAGTAAATGTTCGTTGACCGATGAATCAAATCAATCACACGTTTTAACTCTATGCTCAAGTACAAACACGATTTTACTCTCAAGGTTTTAGGCAAAATATTACCGATTTTTCATTTTCAACTTTATTCGATGGCTAACACTATGTACCACCTCTGTATATGCTCATTTCTCCACATAACGATACATGTAAACTTTCTGAGCGTTTTGATTGCCCACGTACAGGTGTAGTGATCCGCGGCTGACGTCACTGATGACGTCAGAGACATGATACAACCAGCATTTTCACAATATTCACTGAGCCAGTATCCATCAACATCTACTCTTCTACAGCTGTCATCTTCCAGTGATAGGTGAACTATCCCTTGCTACATGCATACCTTACATTAAGCACGCGTTTGTTGACATATAGCCCATTACACCGCAATGGGCGGTATTCACGTGTTTTGCATGAAATTGCGATGGTAACCTCGTAATTTCTCACAATTTCTCTAGGTGCATGGAACATCTTACCAATTTAGTGGTGTCAGTTAGTCATGGATATGTCACAGTAAGTACTAACAGGAGATGTTTCATATACGTTCACCCATTTTGCACACAGGTGGTCGATAGTTATGCCTCTTTTTAACACACAACTTGATTTTTAAGCAGTTTTTGTCATTTTTCTCAGTAAATATAAAACTTAAAGAAAAATACTGATGAGCTATTTTGGTACATATTGTGCTTAACCTGTGGCGAAAACTTTGCTTCCTCACTCTTTGTGGTAATTAAGAAATGTCCAAAATACCATTTTTACATAAAAATAGAAAATTTGTGTGGTAACATAATTAGGTGCTGGAAATTTCATGAAATTTTTAGCTTGAGCACAGAGATATATCTCCTCTATAAATAAAACGTGTGATTGGATTCGATTCATTCGTCAATAAACGTTTAATCTTCATTAGAGCAATACCCGTGCAAAAGGTGGAGAGTATCCTTAAAAGTTAAAGTTTCATATTTACTGAAAAACTGCCTAAAACTAAAGTCGTATGTTCTAATTAAACATTTATGCAAATAAAGAACCACAACTTATAAAAGACGGCACTTAATATCGAACCCTGGCATGCTTTTATTACAGCAATGTGTTACCAGTAAAACGAGTTGTAAAATTAAATTATTCTGAGTTTTAATGAGAGAAATATAGATTTATACATCGGCTACTATATGGCAGAAATCAGCCTTTTCCAGTTTTCACAACGATCGACCGCCTGTGTGAGAAATAGGTGAACATATATGTGAAACATTTACTGTTAGTACGTACTGCGACATATCCATGACTAACTGAAACCACTAAATTGGTAAAACGTTCTGTGCATCTTGTGAAAATTGTGAGAAATTACGAGGTTACCTCTTGCAAGTTGATGCGAAAATGCTGCGTACTGCATGACGTCATGAATCTACGTGTAAACGAACTCGGGCTGTGGTAACAAGGAAAATTTTTAATTTTCAACCATAGGTCAATTTCAATTATCACTGGCAGTTGACGGCTGTAGGAGGGTTGAGGCTGCTAGTTCTGCACAATAAATACTGTGAACAGACTAGTTGGATCATGTCTCTGACTCTGACGTTATCGGTGAATGCGCCATGGCTCATTGCACACATACACGGCCAATCCAAATGGTCTAAAAGTTCACATACATTTGTATATATATATATACTAGCGGGATACCCGGCGTTGCCCGGGGAAAACAGTGGTGTTACTGAGTTGGTGACGGCTTGGTTGAAAGGAAAATACGCAAAAAAATCTAACTATCTATCTATCCATGCATCCATCCATGCATCCATCCATCAATCGCATTCAATGGCATCCCATCCCATCCCATATCGCATCCCATCCCATCCCATGCCATGTCATCGATAATTCCCTTGCTATAGTAGCAATTGAAATGATTGAGTCATATATCGTGCTATGATCAGCAGTGCTACCCTCTGAATTGGCCGTGGTTGTGCTCTGTTTTAGTATTGGTTTCGGTTTCACAATACCAGCAGCTGATGAAGTGAGGTAAAGAAATACTCATCGATTTTTCTGTGTGTGGCAGCACTGTACAGTGAGTGCTGGCATTGTCTGAAGTTTCAGGAATTGACGGATTTTTGACGGATTTTTCGGCGAGTTTCAAGTTTTGATGGATTTTTTTTGCCTAGGAACACTCCCCGGGTATAGGAAATGGCCCTCTGAAAATTGCATCCAGATCGCTTGGGCGGTTTGGCCGGCCATAGGGTACATACATACATACGAACTCAAATATAGATTAGATGGAGAAATAGGCCTGTACAGAGGTGGCACCTGGTGCTAGCCATCGAATAAGACTGAAAATGAACAAATCAATACAATTGTGCATTAAACTTTGAGTGCATCCTTAAGAAAGGTTATTTTTTAGTTTAAATAATGCGTTACCAGCAGCTAAACGACAGTCGCATTGTCTACCTTGTGAACTTCGAGGTAGTCCTGTCCAACTTTCACGTAGCGTGAGTCGACGCGGCTACCGGCCGGTTTGCTAGGATCGAACGCGAAGCAGACACCAGCTACCTGAGGGAAACGTCCCTCTAGTTTTGGATACATCGACACACCATTTTCCAAAGCTTCCAGTAGTTGGGCACCTACCAAACGACAGTACAAACAGCTGTTACGCATGTTAACTATGTACTATCTGTATACATGCCAACTTTAATGCAAGTTATCTCCCTTCCCATCTGGACCGGAAGTGGATGCCCAGCTTGCGCATGTGCGTGAGGGGGCTTGTTGTTGGTGTGCTGTGATGTGCTATTTGAAGTAAACAAAGTCTGTACTGGTTGAGTGAGTTTGTAGTATTATCGATCCAACAACACATACCTCATAGATATATAGGAAAGAGTGGTGGAGA